GAGCACGTCCAGCCAGTAACGGTCAGAGAAACAGGACCACACTGGAAAACAGGCCGATCTCCAGCATCTATAAACACCTTGACATCACAAATTTTAAACATCCATTGTTAAAAATAAGGTGTCCCCCTGCCTAGACTGGGATTTATAAGATGCTATGCTGAAATTATCGCTAACATAAGATCAAGGATAAAAAGCAAAAAGATACATCTCTGTTGTTCCTATAATTTCACCTGAGGGATCCCTATGACAGCGAATATTTTTAGAATAATACTTTTTAGATGAACAGCTTTCTTGGCTATTGGCTGTTTATTCTCTGGTGTTCAACACCATTGTGGAGCTCAAATTAATTGTCCGAGCTAATCCTGACGAGCCATGGCTATTGCGCGCCACGCAGTGTTATCCGCGGCTGATCTGGGTCTCCTAGGTTCACAGCTAACCCGATTTGCTTTGACAGCTTTGATAAGTAGGGCCACTAATACGCTGTTTAGAGCTTCAACAGGCCACCGAAGGAAGACAAATTCAATTTGTTCCTTCTGACAGGTAGCAGTGGGAAGAGGGATAGGTCTGACTTGAATGGGTTTTTCTCCTGAGCTGCGAGCATCACCTCTTGGCTTCTGGCATTGAAGTGGCGCTGGCATTTTCCAAACAACCATTTAGAAGAAGTTAAATCAATCCTCTAGAAGCATGACTGGTTATCAAATATGAAGCAGGCAAGGACGCTGTGTATTCAGTCCCAGGTTGCTGCTGACTGTTGGATAAAATACATGTGATTTCTTTTTTTTTTTATAATATTTTTCTTTAGACTTTGATGTTTTCAGTACTTTTCTTTCTCTCTCTTTAACTCCTCTCTCATCCTTCCTATTTTCCTAATAGTTGGTCAATCAGTAATTTTTTTTTCAGAATCTTGGAAACATTAGAGCAGTGGTCACCAATTAAAGATCATCAGGGTCGGAATAAAGAAAATCAGCCACCAGTAAAGGTCCGGAGACATTTTTAATTATAATCCGTTACCTTACGTAAACGTGAATTGTCTATGCCATGCTACAATGTTGGATTCAGAAAAAGATGTTGAAATGTCTGAAAGGTCAGACACAGGCGAGAGCGTATCGGGAGATGGAGACCAACAAGACCTCCCACATCCTTGGTCCTAACTCAAAGAATTTTTACAAATAGTCTAATAATTGAGCTTTCAGTTCATATAGTGGCATCTGACTGGTTTTTTTTAAAGGTTGCTTTAAACTTTTGTACTTTAAGTAGTTTTTGGAGCACATACTTTTTCACTTTTACTTGAGTAAAGAGGTCAAGTTGATACTTCAACTTTTACCAGTTTTTTTTTTAAATGCAGTATCTTTACTTCTACTTAAGTAACAAATGTGTGAACTTTTGACACCACAGTTGCCCAATATTGAAGCGTGGTCTGCGCTATGTTATTCCACGCCACACACAAGAGGAACAATCAGGAACTAGCTGTGGGTCTAGATACGCCATAGGCGGTGAGAAAGTTGGGGCAAGTTTGTGCGACAACGGAGGGACATGAGGGCGAAACTAAGAGGGGATCCAGGTGGAAAAAGGGTCCCAGCGTTCTCACCAACTCGCTCTTCTAGCGGGTCCATCTTCACAAGTCGTTTTCCACAATGGAGGTCATAAAAACAAACCGAGCCAGTAAGGTACCAAACAGGAAATACGCATAGAGTAGAGCGGATGTAGATCTGACCAATCAGAGGCCTCCTGTCTGTGGTCACCTACAATTTTGAAGAGGTGTAGCAGAGTGTGCAGATGACCTGGTTTCTGAGTATAAACCAGCCTTAAAACAGTTACTAAGTCATGCTGGAATATTAATTGAAACATTATTTTGAATTGTATTAATTACATTTTGATGAATCTACATATAAGCA